GCAAACTTTCCGCCCGCAAATTCGACCCGGTTTAATGTATACACACCCACATTGTGTGCGTGCGTGCGTGCGTGAGTGTAAAGATGACAACTATATATTATATTAAACTAATCTGCACGGAACCATATTACATATATAAAATAGTATCTTAAGGCTGTGTATAGGTAATACCTAAATTATTTGAAAGAAATAAGGCCATTAAGAGCCGATGCTGGATATTTTTTGCAAATGTCTATGATGAGGAGGATAATAATGTTTGTAGTGTCAAATGCACGCGCCAAACTATTTTCCGGTCTTTACAATGTACGCAATGAATCAATCTTTTATTAACAAACCGACCATAAATCTTCTAATATTTTCTATAATTATTATAATTATTGAAACCCCCCTATATTTTAATGCTCTCCAATACGCATTGATTCTATTCTTGAGTTGCGAAAAAACTGCCCAAGCCAGAAATCGAACTTGGAACTCCTGGCTGAGGCAGTTTTTTCGCAACTCAAGAATAGAATCAATGCGTATTGGAGAGCATTAAAATATAGGGGGGTTTCAATAATTATAATAATTATAGAAAATATTAGAGAATTTAGGGCCGGTTTGTTAATGAAAGATTGATTTATTGCGTACGTTGTAAAGACCGGAAAATAGTTCGGCACGTATGTTTGACACTACAAACATTATTATCCTCCCCATCATAGACATTTGCAAAAAACATTCAGCATCGACTCTTAATAGCTTTATTCCTTTCAAATAAAATAGTATGTAATTTAATAAACTATATATTAATTGTACGTATAACTCGCGTATAGTTATCACACAAACACACACACACATATACATATGTATGTATATAGTTGTCATCACTATATCTTTTATATTAGAAGGCGATCGTAAATCTTTTTTGTTAGAGTCAACTGAAAAGAGAAGAGAGAGACTGAATATTTCTATGTGCTTTCAAGTTAGAAAACTTTCACTTTCCACGAGTTCTGAAGAAACGATTCATGATTGGTCTCCTGAGTGCACCCATAGACGTTACTACGATTGTGAAATTGAATTGTGAAATTGCTATTGAAAGTTCAAAGAGGAACATCTGGATCAATGATCTCTAAGGCGTATTTTAAACACTTATGTCTGTGGTGTCATCGTCGAATGTGTTATTTATTTGGGGTGGAAGAGGTGGTTACCGATGATTTTTTTTTCATCTTTCCTGTAGGGAGGCGATGAAGGATCCTCTCATTCCATAGATAAACGGGTTGTGTTGTTTTTGTTGATTGCATAAAACTCCTCTGCAGAGGAGTCTTAATTTCTCTTATGCAAGAGAAAGACTGCGACTTGACCGATGCCGTTTGTCGCAGTTGGTAACAGCGTTGCTATTCCGTTGGTAGTGGTGATGGTGGTAGTGATGGTGATAGTGATGGTGGTAGTGGTGGTGATAGTGGTGGACGTGGTGGTGGTAACGGTGGTGGTAGCATTAAATGATGTTGCAGAGAGGTGAATCCCTAAAACGTATCTCACATATATATCGACGTGAAGCAAGTACTACGTTCGATAAATAGTGGGATCCGACATTAGGTCGACCTAATTTGCATGTCTCACCGCGTGTCCTTCTCGTACGATTCCTCTTCGATCGCACGTTCCTTCAGGATCGGTGGGACTCGGCAAGCTCTCGTTCTCTCAGCGAGCTTCTATATCTTTTAATTTTAATGAAGGATTTAACGAAAACGATCATGTTTGCTGCATGCCTCATATGAGGTGCGTAAGCAGCAAATGATTATTACTTATACAAGGTATCTGAGAAACCAAAGGAAATATTCATATACAGGTAGAATGGATCAAACTGAACAGAGGTGTCATTTTGCAAATTTCACAGTAATAATTTTACACAATAGTTATCAATTAATTAAACACTATGAGCGAATGAAAGCATGGAAAGCGATAGGACGAACTCTGTAGGCATATCTAAAGAAAGATGGCTTTTAGCTTGTAAAAAAGATGTCTTACTTGTTAGGATCTTCTAAACAACGGTGAATATCAGCTGATAACGAGAGGCGTACTTTTTTTCGACGGGTGACTTTGTGTTACTTCGTTTCTCGCTATCAGCTAATATCTACCGTTACTAAGAGATCCCAACATCCTTATTACAAGCTGGAAGCTATCCTTTTTTATGTATGTCTATAGACTCTATATTACTGTTTCCCGTGCGTTCTTTCGCTTATATTGTTTAACTAATTTCTTAATAACTATAACATAATTTACAAAATGGTACATGATTTCTCTGTTTAGTTTGATCCATTCTATCTGTACACGAGCGTTTTCGAACTGTCAGATACTCTGTATATAATTACTATGTAGTGTAAACTATAAAAAATAATTATACACTATATACTAAAATACTGTACACTATAAATAACTATAAATTTTAGCTATACATTATAAACTATAAAAAGAGAGCCATCAAAACAATTCGAATCGAGTTAACACGTTGATTGCCACAGTGACATTAAAGAACAATATCCGTTATTTTATATATTAATATGTTATTTTTATATGTTAATTAATTATATTTATTATTTAGTAAAACACAAAAAAGAACTTATGCATATTAACTAGTAGTTGACGTAGAATAAAGAATTCTTTTCGTTCACCTGTCAGGAAATAACTCGTATTTGATAACGTGTTAAACAAATTTAACTTCAAGGTCGTATATGGAATTAAAGAGAACGTTCAAGCTCTCGTAAGCTTTTAGCTTTATTTTGTGATATTTGAAATCTTAAATTATTTTTTAATAAAATTATAGTTATTAATGGGTAGATTAAAGATATGTACAAATATCAAAGTAATACACCTTACTATTTGAAAAAATGACCTAAAAAGAATTTCAAAACCAATATATGGCGCTTGTGACGGTTTATATAAATATTTTATTAGAATATTAGTAAGATTTTCTGCAGTTTCCCTTATCCATGCAACAATTGTTAATATTCATAATATTAATAATATCGACTGCAAACGCACTAATGCCCGTTTCTACCAACTTTGGTTAACTTAAATAGCTAGTTATTCCAACGGATTGAACCACCAATCGCATTTCTCGTTAGTCAAAATTGACAGACGCGTTTGATCCGTTGGAATAACTAGCCGGTTAAGTTAACCAAAGTTGGTACAAACGGGCATAAGGGTAATTTTTATTCCGATTAACTTAATCATCGATTAATTCCATTGTGACCACCAAATAGCTATTAGCCAATTCTGTTAATTACAACGAATTAACTGACGATTAAGTTAACCGGAGTTTACTAAAAGTCATCCTAAATTAATATATATTATTAACATTTATAATCCATTTATATTTTATTTATATAAAGACTTTAATACATATATTTAATTTCTTGTAACATTTCCTGTAAGGATCTTAACGATATCATATATTTCAACAGAATACGTATCTTTTTGAGCCATTTTCCTCTAAATGAAGCATATCAATTTGATACTTATTATATATCTTTAATCTACTTATATATAGTTACAATTTGTAAAAAAATAATTTAAAATTTTGAGTGCTACAAAATAGGGGGCTAAATTTGGCTGCACTTTTTGCCCTTTCGATTTAAATACTTTCAGCAAATTTCAATTCATGTTTGTGTAAAATAAGCTCATAATTTAGTTTAACTAGACAATCATAAAGATAACCCAACGCATTATTGATTGTTTTCAACCTTTGATTTTTTTAATCTCCCACTAGAAGTAAAATTATTCATATTATGCAGTAAATTTCTCGGTAGTTGGAAGAATATCATACATATAACTCTACGTTTCCTTTTCATTCAGTAATTTAATTAAATTTAATTTCCTTCTCTTTAATCCCGTTCAACAGTTTTACTGTTGACTAAATTCAAATTCCTAGATTGTTGATTGAATCTCTAGATTGTTGGTCTGACATAACTTTTATTCAATTTGATTTGATTGCAATTTGTGCAACAAAAGTTGCATAATCCACAGACTTGGTTTTTACTCGATTTTTTTCTGCGCAGTTATAGTATAATAACGATATAGATTTTGTGACAATCGTTCTTTGTAATGACATACTATTCGTGCTGCTTTAAATTACTGCACTACGTCATTACGTTATGATCATGATTTTATCACTTTCCACGTAACAACGCAGATTAAAGCAGATACGTCATCGTCGGTGGAAAAATTGCGCGATTTCCTGTAATCAGAGTGAATGAGTAGTGCGAAATGCATGACGAAAATTTTCGTGAAACTACACAGGGACGTTGAACCGTAGACGGAGACGCATGCAAGGAACATCGATGCAAGGTTGAGACAGCAAAGGTCTCGGCCGCTCCCCTTGCACTTTGTGGTGCAACAGGAGCATCCTGAGTAAGGTTTTTCTCCAGAAAAGTTCAGAAAAGCAAATCTGAAATATGACCCCAGGACGATTATTCTTAGATTAATTAAATTAAATTAATTTTTATTATTTTTCCATAGAAAATTATTGATGCAAATAAAAATCATTAAATGTCGACAGTTGATTTAATTTATCATCAATAAAAATTTTCAGTTGCAGTCAGACTTTCCCTTTCTAGGACAGACTTCAATCTATCCCTTTTAAGTTCAAACTCTGCGACAACAAGGATTCAACGACTCTATGGCGGAATTGAAAGATGCTCGCGATAACACAGCGACGGCGACCGAACGAAATGTAACGGGAGTGTAAAGAATGTGCGGGCGAAAAGTGAGAGACGAGAAGGCTGGGTTGGCAACTTTACGCCCTTGCGTCGGGGCGCGTGCATTCTCCGCGTTGCGAAGGGGGCAGCAGAGGTAAAAGAAAAAGGGGCACGAGCGAGTCGCGAGGGAAGAAGCGGCGTCGCGGGTAACACTAGCCGAGTAAGCTTCGGACACTTGTTAGGATTCACGGCTTAGAGCACCCCTGGCTCCTCAGGCTTCACGTCTGCCTGGCCCGAGCCAAGCCTCCTCCACTGACTCGGACAGCTTCGCGTCGCCGTCATTCTATGCCGGGGACTTCTTAGCTTACGCCTTACGCACTCACGTTACCGCCGATCGGAGTGATTTCGTCCTGCTCACTCGCTCTCTTTTTCTCTTTCTGTGCCGCAGCTATCCTTTCGCGACTCGACGATGATACGCACGAGAGCCGCCGGACAGATTGCTCGTATCAATAACGTGTAAAGTGGATGGCATATACGAAAATGTAAGCAATAAAACTTAAGCAACAACTTAAACAACAAGCGAAATTGATCATTCACAGTCGAGAAAATGGAGTTTTGTTATTGAGAACATAAAATTATCTTGTTGAAATTCTCGATTGTGATTTGCCAATTCGCCCGCTGCGTAGGTCTTGCTGTTTGCATGTTTTTACTTATATGCCATGGCTATAGAGGTCTATTCAAGCAAACTTACGTAGTAGCATGCATATTCACAAGGAAATTTACCAATTCTGTGTTTGATATAAAATATAACTTTTACTGCACGGATAATGCTTGCTTAGTTTCCTTATGCATAGGCAATATGGGATTATGCAAGTTCGTAAGTCTGAATAGGCCTTAAGTCTGTTAATTTCCATTAAATTCTCCTGTCTACTTTTGAGATTCGATAATGGACAATGAACACATGCAGTCCTTTTTACAGACCTGTTCAGATCAACTTGCATAGTCACATAATATGTATGTAAAGGGAAATTGACCAATAGTGTCTGATGTAAAATACATTCTTTTACTACACAGATTTACTGCTCTGATTGATTGATTTCGTTATGCATATGCAATATGTGATTATGCGAGAGAGAGAGAGAGTTTCGCTGGATAGATCTTAAAATATATCCTTTTACTGCATAGGTTATGCTTGATTAATTTCGTTATATGTATGTAATATGCGATTATGCAAATTTGTAGACAGGTTTTAATAGAGCTATGTCAGTAAAACCCGAATATTTTTGTCTCTGGGTAGCTGGATAATACAGTTGTGCACATATGTGTACAGAAAAAAATATCAATTTATGTAACAAAATGGGAACTAGACGAAAATACGGTGACGAAGAATGATATTTTTGTTATCGTGACTGAAAACATTCGTCTGAACATTAAAATTTAATTAAAATAATTGAGAATATTTAATTGTATAGAAATCTCTTACGAATATGTGTTTCTGTTTCTAGCTTTCGAGCTCTAGTTACCGAGCTTTTACTATAGATTTATATACATAGACTAAGCGTTTCAAAATAGAGAGGATGCGAAGACTTGATCAGAAAATGATACCCTGTAAATATATCCCAAACAACATAATGTCTAAAATCGGGACGTAAGATCATCTTTAAGATGTCTTTCAGATGATTTACGTATAAATGTCTTTAAAGCGTCTTAAAAAATATTTTTAAGACGTTTTATGTCCTGATTTTAGACATTATGTTGTCTGGGATAAGTATTCGATCTTTGTCTAGCTTGAATCCTATTGGACATTTTGTCTAACTTTCTTCAATAAGAATCAAATAAGATAAGGACAGAATATCTATGAATAGCGCGGAAGGGGAATATAGTTATTCTTTAAATATTATCTTCAAACCTCTCTTATTAGAAGATCTAGTCTATATAAATAAATTTATGGTTTTCGTATGGTCCTCAACTAACATAAAATTAGTTGTACGAATTAAATAATTTTTTTTCGTATGAACATTATTTTGACAACCAGAAAATAGTAACAAGTAAATAGTTACGAATCTGCAACCTAAGTAGCACAAAGCAATGGGTTAATGTTGAATCTATAACGGCTAACTGTTGACTAACTAATATGTGCTACTGGGGCATGCATTTGTTATTTATTTTTTAAAAAAATTAATAATACCGGAAATCTCATGTTCGGTTACCCGATATCGCGGATAATACCAAAAAAATCTGGATATTCGGATAATCGAAATTGACGCCATTGGTTGTCTTGAGGCTCGCGATGAATGGACGTTTCGCAGCATTTGTTTTTGGTGCTTGGTGGTGGACTTTTCACAGGTTCGACAATCCTTCCTATAATTGGTCAAGGCAATCATGGATATCCGTTGTGGTTGAAGAAGCGTCGATTATATAAGCACCCACCTTAGGTTTATGCCATATTTCATGTTGCAAATGTACAATGAAATAAGACAGAAACATAAGACGGTTTGCCTATGATATACTTTCTCTTAACTTCGTCAGGTCCCAGAGACGTTGTTTCGTCCTCGGCATCTTTTTGCAAAAGCGAGAATCTGTGCTATAAAAAAGCTAGCCAAAACAACTACTTTAACAGAACTGAATTAAATGAACTCAATTTCAGGGTTGTACATAGTGAACTGACTGCTTTGATTCTTTCGACGAAATTTTGCTGTTCAACCTTTTAATTTCTTGTTTATATAAAACGAGTTCAAAATTTAGTTCAATATGAGACAATCATTAAGATCTAATACAATATCGTTGATTCACTTAATATTTCATCGAAGATAAAACTACTCGATTTATGCAGAATTATACAATTAGATGAATCCTTTAATAATTGATAAAAACGTTTATGTCATTACACATGTACTAATTATGTAAAGCCACGTGTCAGAGTTTCTTTAACCTTTTATTATTAGTTACATCTTTTTTACGTTGAACTGCAGTTTGTGCAAAGAAATCTGCATAACCTTGAGTTCGTTTAACCTAATTTTTTCATTATAAATTTAAAAATATTTTTTTAGATATGAATATTTATATTCTCCTCTCAATTCTCTATTCATAGAGAAAAGAAAAATTTTTGTTGATCAACGCTAGAATCGCTAAAGTAATCAATATGATATGTTTTGTAATTTCTTATAAAAAAAAGTACTCAAATCTATAATGGTACATTTTATATTTTTAATAAACATTGAATCACAAAAACTAGAAATAATACATACATATGTATTTTTCCCTTGCATTACGTATTTTTTTCAAAAACCTGTTATTTTGATAGCTCTGGTAAAAATAAATCGTTAATTGTGGATAATTTTAGTATCTTAATATGTTATGGACAGTGGAAAAAATTAGTGAACTTGCGAAGCGCACTGGAATATATATACTCATATACGAGAGCCAAATGATTGAATTGAATTGATGTATATCTCACTTCAATATATTTATTAACTTATTACAAATTTATAATACTTGCTTGTCATTTAACATTATGAGTATATTCTAACTGAAATAAATCATTTTATAGTTTATAAATGCTTTTCCAAAAACAAAATTCTCTCCATATATGTCCTATGCTCGATAAAATTTTCTAATTGGTTTTCTCAGTTCGAGAGATAGTCACTGTGGATATATGCGATTTTAGTTATAAAGCTGAAACTCATTCGTTCGTTATATTTAAGCAAACTTTTCAGCACTTCGTCCCTTGAAACGAATTTATTAATAGTTCGTTGCGTTAAAAGGGCAAACACCCAATTTGTGGCGAAAAAGTTGTCTAAAAAATTTGAAGCGCACGGGACATTGTAAAATGGCCTGTCCGCAAGTGTGTTATAAGTTCATCGACTATAAAAAGTCATTAGTTATGTAACATCGGGTGACCTGTTATAGATCGCTACTCGATTTAACAATATCGAGCCGGGGACATTTACATTGCCTATATACAACGCGTTATCTAATGTAACTTATAGAAGTCGTAGGATGGAGGGAAAGCTCTTATGCCGCATATGCGCTCTTGCGTAACGAATTTATGACATTTCGCGTATAGTCAGTAATGAACTTGCGCCTTTCAACGCACCCGCTTATCATTCGTTTACGGCTACGTTGGAGGCGTTGGAGACTATTGGAAAATATATTAGTAGTATATCTCAATTACTCAGCATAATATCATTAGCAAAGAATACGGAGTCTATTTGGAACAGCGGATAAAAATTCGCGCGTTTTGTTTACTACGTGTAATACAATAGATTCGCTTGTATCTATCATTAACAGCGCTCGTTCAGATTCGTTCAAATTCAGCCATATTGTTTATTCAAATTAATTATTCTTCTATCGTTTATTTATTTCCGTACCTGGGATATTCCATACCACGGATGTTACGATACACGGAGAGAATTTTTATTGAACGATATACTGGTAATTAGAATTATCACACTTGTATTGTGCGAAAAAATTCTCATTAAAGTTATAATTTATATATTGCAACAATTAACAGTTTACTCAGATGTCTTTGCTTTTAATTCGATAGTATAAAATTTATTGTACTTTTTAAAATCTTTTTCGGCATTATAAGTATATCTTCTAAGTGGGACAGGCTAATATATAATACTTTTATGATACTTTTATGTATGTTTATGTCTTCTAGAAAAGTTCTCTCGTGTATATCTAAGAATGACACGCAGACCGGCAGGCTGAGGAGCCGACGGTAATGCGCTCGGAGAAGAAATTAAATTTTACATTTGTACTATTCCTAAATACTACGTAACGATTGTAAGAGAACGTTAAATCAAGAAACCTGAAAAAGAAACGCGATAGAGCACTCGTTGGAAATAATCCGGTACAAAACAAAACGAGTATTCACTTGCATTTTTCGTATATACAGTCGGCTGATTAAAGATTGTGACTTTTTTCCTCGATGAGTTTTTCAACGCATTCCATATCCAATAGGAAAATATATATATCTCTTGAGAATTACGAAAAAAAAAACAATTTTCCTATTAGACACGAAATATATTACGAAATTCATTGAGGAGAAGAGTCGCGATCTTTAGTCAGTAGTCAGACACTACGTCACGTATGTCTTATTGTTATAATAATTACTTACACGATTTTCGAACTTATGTGTATGTGTGCAATGTCAAAAATCCTACAATCCTAGCTACAATTACAACGCGTACATGGTGTAATTTATATTAGGTCGCTACAAGAGTTACCATTTTTATTAAATAGGAAAATTAGTCCATTATAGTTAAATAAAACTGAAAAATAATTATAGTTAATTGAAACTATCCAGTTTTGAGATACTGATGATCATTGCGAGTAAAATAAACAACATTGATTTGGTATTTTTTTAAAAAGACTTACGGGGATGTTCCTAATTATTTTTTTCTTTTTATATCTAGGTAGATAATTCTTTATGGCCTTTTATTAAGTCTTCTGTGTGCTTGCCATGCTTATCTTGATTAATGACGAGAAAACATATACTCAAAACTCTTACGAAATATGTCGAAATAACAGGTTATGAAATTGTAATCAAATATAATCGATAACTTATATAATTGTGCACATTTATAAAATATTACGAAAGCTTTCTTTTTACTTTAACAAACAATAAATAGTCGTAAAATTAACGTAAAAAAATTATGACAAAAAGTAAACCAAAAAGAAAGATTGTATATCACGTTTACAATTATTTATAAATTTTATTTATAAATTTATAAATTTTACAGTTACTTATTAATTGTTAAGACAAAAAAGTTTCCAGAATACTTTATAAATGTGCTCAATCGATTCTAAGCATCATTTTATGAACATATACTTTTATTTTCGTGTATTCCGTAAGAATTTTAAGAATGCCTTTTTTTGTAGCTTCTAACGTCATCAATCGAGAATTCCGCAGTGAAGACCAGCAGTGCGATTTTGTAACTGTCGTTAACGAATTGTCGTTAACGTTGCGCAAATATATAGTATATGCTAGAAAAGATGCGCGACAAAAAGTGCTAGTCCCAAATAGCAAAGAGAATACGAAATTCATGTTTATGTTATCAATTTTAAATTCCTTTTCAGATATAAAAAGAATTTAGAATTGGTGACATAAAAATGAAATGTCTAATGAATTCTTTTTGAATTTTCTGTGCTATCTGGGAGTGATATTGTCGTTAACGAATTATAGAATCGTATCTCAGGAGCCTTAGTAGATGTTATTTGAAAATTGTCTCACGTGAAATACTCAGATCTGAATTTATAGCGTCATATCTGAGTTTCTTACTTAAATCATATGACATATTTGACAATATATTTATAAACGTGAGTCAAAAAACCGAAAAATTTGCTTCTCTCTTTAAATTCAAATCTAAGTATCTTACTTAAAAACAAATTGCAAGCAACAATTATTAATAGGGCTGTAACAAAAGTCAGAATAGAAAAAGCACGAATCTTTGCACCAAACTTAAAAACGAAGAAACGTGATCGTGTTTCTTAACATTCGGATAACGAAACGTCAAAATCTTTAGACGTTTCGCACTTTTAGACAGATTTGTAATCATAAATCAATAAAAAAATTCGCATTTAAATCTAAATTCAAATCTGAGTATCTCATTTGAGTAACATAAGTTTTAAGTAATGACTATTAATACATCTGTCAGATAATCAAAAGTTGCAACATTTTCCTTCAAAAGTTTCGCAATGTATTTCGTATCCAATAGAAAAATGTGTCTCCTGAGAATTACAAAAAACAAATTCTCTTATTGGATACAGGATGCGTTGCGAAACTCATTGAGGAACAGTGTTGGAACTTTTAATCAACTGACTGACTACGGGCCTACGAGATAGAATTTAATGGAAGAAACGACGAATCTTTTACATCAGTGTAATAGAATAAAGGAGCGCGATCGCGTCTTTTAGGGCTTGAACTTGTCGCAGTCCTTCAGACGTATCATATTTTCTAACAGGTTTATAATAGCGATTTAATGAAGGAAAAGGAGAGGAAATTCATATCTACTTCAAATGCAAATCTGAATTCACACTTGAGACAAATTTCAATTATTAATACTCACTTAGTAGTTCAAACAAGATAGAAATTAACAGGGGAACGGCAAATTTTTGCGTGAAGCTGAAGACGGAAAAACGCGATCGTACTCCTTGTCATTCGAACAATCAAATTCACGGATATTTCGTACATAGATTGACCAGATCGATTACACGCTGAAAAATCAACGTTTCGCAGCTGGAAGAAGACTCGTCATGAGGTCGTCAGACTGTCACGGGATCCAACTCGAAAGGGACATACTTGTTTCATAAATTGTGTGTACAAGACGGCCGCATGCGTGCGTATGTACGAAGAGTTGCATAAGAAGCCTTAAATCTGCCGGAGAGGTAAACGGGATTAATCCCGTCCACCCCACACGAAGCCATGTCAATCTCATTGGCGTAGAGATATCGTTTTCCCTCGTAAAGCTAACGTTTCTTTTGTCAGGCTGACCAGCGTCCGTCTTCCACGCTCGACCTTGCTCGTCGCTACCGGACGCACTCGTCGTTGTCGGTCATCGCGCGATGTACCTCGAGACATTGATCGTTCGATGACGGAACCGCCATTTTCCACGTGGTATCGGAATGTTTAGACAATATTCTTACCGACCTACCGTGCCGCGTTCGAGGCCTACCATTAACGCGTTCGCTACCACAGTTTACTTGGGGAACTCTCTCCGCGGACCACATTTGTTTTTATACGCAGAAAAAACGTCTAATTGAATTAGTCTGTCAACTGCTTAGTCTACATCGAGAGGATTAAACGCGGACTGACCTATACCGTGACTAATCGCGGTCGATTATTCTTGTAAAAATCAATTGCGATTGGTTACAGTATAGGTCAGTCCGCGTTTAGTCCTCTCGATGTAAACTAAGCAAATAAACGAACAAAATGAGTTTCGGTTGAAGGAAAGAGAATTTCTGCTTCTTAGGTTTGTATTAATATATTTTTGAAACTTGTTTCATATGTGATACTTAAATTTTTATTCAGAGCTAAATTAAAATTTTTTAGTTAAGTTATAATATGCGTGTCATTTATATATTTTACCATGCTTTTACTGAGAAACTCTAACTCTGAAATTTGAATATCTGATTTGAGAAGTCTTTCAAATAATAACTGTTAATACGAGCCTTAGAACCGAATTTGGTTCATAAAAACTGCACGCAGACATTCCATTTCCTTCAACTGAAATATGTTTTGTTCACTCATTGTTAGGTTAATTCAACCAAACTTTTTCTAATTGTGTAAAATAGATCTAGTTTATTTACATATATATACAGAGAAAAAATTATCGTTGTCACCGATATGCGACGTTGATAATGATCGTAAATATATATGAACGTGTTAAGGTGATGTCAAAATGGGCGACGAACTCTAAAAATTTCGATAACGCAGAGGCAATCGTCAAAACATCATGTCAAATAAGTATCGATTACGTTACCTTTTTTCGTATTTTTTGTGGATATAGATCTTATACAGGATGTCTGACAATTAATAATATATCTGTTGTGTGCAGATAAAACTCAAGAAGCTAAATGCAAAATTCCTCTATCGTTTCACAAATAATCACCTAAAATTTTAAGTTATTAATCAAAAAAGATTGGTGAATGATTACGCGCGATACGGATCGGCAAACTGAAAAAAAAATTCTGTACAATTACAAATTATATAGATTTTTAGTTATTAATTAAAGAAGGTTAGAGCATGATTTTGTGCGATAATGCATCAATGTTTTTTGATAATTAAAAATTTCCGCGGCCATTTACAAAACGATATACGGAGAGAATATTGTAGTAAAAATTACAATACAATACGTGGTAATTTTTACTATATTTATAGTCATTTTTACTATGTTCATCGTTACTTTTACTATGTCTTATTGTAATTTTTGTAATAGTGCTCATCTACTCCCGAATTACTAGAATTTTTACTACAATATTCTCTCCGTGTACAGGACTTTTTTGTTCAGTTTGACCTGATGTATAAACATCTAATGTCGTCATTGCAACTTTATATTGCGCGTGAATCTTCATCAATCTTCTTTGATTAATAACTTAAAATTTTGAAATGGTGGTTGTTTGAAATGGTAGAAGAATTTTGCGTTTAGTTGTCGAATTCTACCTGCACACAACAGGTTATTAATTGTTAGATATCCTGTATAAATGTGTACTGCTTTGTTTTGCCGTATTTAGCGGAAAATATAAAGATGTATAGGAAACTTTTTGCAAACTATTCACATTTTTTAAGCTCATAAATTTAGTTATAAAGGTACAACAATATTTTTTGAAATTTCCCTGAGCAAAAAACTCAGAATGCACTCAAACTACGGAAATTTTGAATCAGGCAAATATTTACGCTAACTGATAGCTCGAGATGTTAATTTTGAAATTTTTTATCGTTTACGTCATATGTTGAGCAATATTCCCATTTATTTTTGCAAGTACTTTCATTGTGAAGAAGCATTTATAATTCTGTGTAATCAGTACGATGTAAACTTTGCAGAAAAAAGTTAGTATTGTCGGTGAAGTCTCCAATTATAGTATGTTTTTAAGTAAAATTGAAAATTATAAGTTTGAAATGAGAGATCGATGCGTCATATGTATGATGCTGATTACGAAAGTGTTAACATGTTGAATGTCGTGATTGATGACGGGCATTAGAGCAGTCAGCGTCTCATTAAATTACATATAAAGTATAATTATTAGCATATGAAAAATCGATTATACTAGCAATAGAGAGCCAATGAAACGAGGTAGTTAAAAATATATGCGTCTGGAATTATGTTTATTTACTACATCTTTTGCATTTTTTTATCAGTTAAGCTTTTGTGCAAGCTGCAAAAATCAACGCAATAGTCAACGGGTCAAATATAGCTCGCTATCATTGTTTTCGAAGGAATTGGCGATGGCAAACGCATGGCCGAGGACATTTTACGCCGAAACGTTGTATTTTAAAAAATAACGCTAAAACGCTCGCGTTTTATTATTACTGAAATAAACAATCGCGTGTTTATAAACGGAATACACAAGTACACCGCATTTGAGAAGTAGCAATTCTTTTTTAAGAATAATGAGCATTTTTGTTGAATATATTCTCGTTTATTATATATTATTGGCTAAATCGTTCAGGAATGTTGTAGATTTGCTAGGTTTATGATATAAAATGTTTCTTAAATTTTAGGCCTACGTACGCGGCGATGCGGCCAAACAAAACACTTCATCTTGGTAACACGTTTTGGTAACTATTAAAAATTTTGCAAAGAACATATTAAATCAATCTTTTCTTGAGGTTTTATATAGTCTGATGTACTAATTTACATTTTGTATAAACGTCAAATGTCGAATATTTAGGAAAAAGAGATATGTGAAGAGCGATTGCTTGAGATTTGACAAGTTTTGGGGCGAGATTTAAAGTTTATAGAAGTTTTTCAAATTAGAAACAAATTTACAAAATTTACTAAAATAACAATTTTTACTAAATAGATCCGATGTTCTCATCGGTTGCCGCCGCTTATAATACGGAAACAACGAATATATCGACTGTAATTTCTATTAAATATTATTGAATGCATAAAAATTAATCAAAATCCTTATCAATGAAATATTTATTGTTATTGAATCGAATTTTGTCACGCTTCCATAGATAGATTCGGCTTTATTTGTGTTACGCTTACGTATAAAAATACGTATACATAATACCACGTATACCACGTATATTATACAACGATATAAATAATGGAGTGAACAACATTGAAATTATTTGAATATATCTTTGGCAAATAGATATGCAAAAATTTGTTGACATACTAGGCGCGCAGACGGTGTTTCAAATCATTTTTAAGGATGTTGCGTCATAAAGGGAAACGGTTTATTTAAGTAGTCGAAACACGTAATTACATTTTATTCGTTAATTATGTGTTTTTAAAATGATACTGAATCTCTCAACAGTAGTGCAGCATGCGACGTTAATTAAACTAACATGCAACTTACAAATAACAACTAGTAGAAACGTTAACATACGAAAACAAAAATGCTCGATACGAGGAATGTCCGTTTTCTTGTGTTTCCTAAGATTTATGCCGAAAATACAACAATTTTCTGAAATAACCGGATATTATTATCAACCACAAGTCGCGTAAAGATATTAACGAGAAAACTGCGGCAAACTATAACTGCGCAATTATTTCATTTCTTAATTATCACACTTCTAATTTACGATCGAAAGTAAAGAGAGAGAGAGAGAGAGAGAGAGAGAGAAAGAGAGACAAATGATTTATTCGAGGATCATGTACTATTAGATGCGAATCTTGGAGGTCGCGCGCGCGCGAGACGACACGTGTAAAAACGTTACAAATACGACGAACTAATCGTGCAATCAACTTCTTCGGCCATCGAATGTATCATTGAAATCGCGGTTAAAACGAGAAGCGATTTGCTCGATTGAGCGGTCGAAGATCGTGCACAACCGAACGCGAGAGTTCTCTCCGAGAATTTCTAAATTTCCGTCGGTGCAGCGATTACTGTTCACGCTCGACTGGGCGAGCGTGGAAACTTGCGCGGATACGAGATCGCGAGCGGTGCGAAAGTCTGAAAGGATACATACCCGAAAACGATGTGGTTTCGCTGATTTTGTTTACGGGCGCGAAGCGACTGAGGCTAGCCGCGTCGTCGTGAATCGCGAGCGACGGCACGCGACGCCGTCCGACGGCCACCTGCAACGTCGTTCACCAGTGGCGACGATTTCGGCGATCACGCGGCGTCGTCGATCGCGCGCCTAATTGCAGGTGAAATCGCGCTAATCGCGGGGAAGTGGATCACGCGTGGCGATTTCGCGGGATCCACGCGGGTTTTCTAGATAATTGACATAGCAGATGCTCGCGAGGCGACTGCCCGTATACGAGCGTGCGGCAGATCAATTTGCCAGTATCTCGGAGTTTGCCCTGCCATCTGGTACGCGGATGCAGCACTAGCGGCTTTTCTGTTGTTCAAAATGTTTGCGATCGAGCCTTTTGTTCGCTTTTGCTCGAATCTCCCTCGTCCCTCGTATAAAGTCGAATATGAGTAGAACTCCCGGTTTTTCGCAGTGACACATGAAATTTCGTGGCGACGTGCGATTGGTGGGCTTCGCCTTGAATCGTCTTGAAATCGTCTTTGGAAAAATGCTGCCGCTTCTTTTAAAGGAAAAGAGGATTACGCGTTATCAAGTTCACAACATATTGTATGAAAATACGGACATGAGACAATTTGGAAATAAAGTCGTTAATTCTCGATGCCGGTAATGACAATTACTCTATTTTTCAAGAACGCGGCCATTGTTATTTACAATAGATAGTTGGTCAAAGTAGGACTGGGGAATTTGAGGCTTCTATTAAAATATAAATGTGTAAACGCACAGAACTAGTTTTTAGGTCAAAGATGGTCCCCGTAATATTCAGCGATGTGACAAGAGTAATGATACAATAATTCTTTATAAAGTATGAGATCAATGAACTATATTTGTAGTTTATTATATTAATTATTTATATATTAAAAAAATTAATAATTTCTTATTCTCACTCGACGAAAAAGAAACTTTCTGATATTATTTTATTTATATATAAGAAATACAAAATTAGTAAAATAAAAAAAATAATGAAATATATATATTAAAATAATAAAATATAATATTTTCAAAGGAAGATGTTAAAAATAATTATTTTTTATTCACTGATAAAATCTTAACTAAACATTGAAAATTATTTTTGAAATTTTCAGATTATATAAAAATAAGAATTATTTGTCTACCAGGTCCGGCGATAGTTATGAAAATTGGAATTTATTATTGATTGTTGAAATAATAATATAAAGTGTTTTTAAAATTTGCATCCTTGATATTTCGTTAAAATAAAATCAATTGTATATTTAGAGACAAAATTGAAACGAATAGTAAATGTACAAAATATATTTTTTTGGTTCACACACACACACACACACAAATATTATATATATATATGAGTGTGTTATAGAAGTATATGGGGATAATTATGAAATATATGCGTTTCTTCATTTTCAACCGAACTCAGAACCACGACTTGGTAAATTCCCTGACGATTTTTTCTTAAGTTTTTATTTTTTCTTTTATCTTCCAAAGTATTTTCAGCAGAATTTGTTATGTAAGGACTAAAAAATATAAATAGTAGATTTTTTCGGATCTCTTTGCGTATGCAACACATAAACATTGGGTAAACCAAAAGAAAAGAAACTTCTCTACATTTGCTACTCACATTTCAAGATATAAATGCAATTAATTTTATTTTAAAAATATATCAAAAGTAAAAAGCTTAAAGAATACTTTATATATATATGATTATTTCAACAATAATAAATCCCGATTTTCATAACTTTCTCTGTACTCGGTGGACAGATAATTGTTATTTGCTGTTTCTAAAAGTTCTTAGAAACAATTTCCAATTATTAGATAATCTAAACAGTACATATCTCCACAGGACATCCTAAAAATGCTTTGAAATCGTCCCCAAAACATCTCTTGGAGATTATGTGCTATTTGGGAAAGTTCTGTCAATAAACAAAAAATGACCTATTTTTAACATCCTCCTTTAATCTTCATTTTTACTTAATGAAATTTTTTTCCTTAGGCTAAATTTGCGGCTTCGGATTTTAATTTATTCTTTTACAGCTGAATTTTTTTCTATATACAATGATTTATTCGATAAGGATTTTTATATAATACCTTTGTCGACATTCGTTTTATCATAGCATTATTTTATAGCTAAAGCAATCTGTATTTATATCATTTTTTCAGTACAGTGATCCTCAGTAACACTTCCTAAAATACATGTTATATTCAATAAGTTTTATTTTATTGAAATTGTTTCTAATATTTACTTTTTCAGTTATGTATTTTTATGTAAGATAATTGTTATATAAAATTTTTTCCATATAGTTCTTTTGAGCAAAATACACATATTTCGCTCTTTTTTATTTTTTTAAACATCAGAATTAGTATATTAACAAAATAACTCTTAAATATTGATTTTTGATTTTTTGATATATTTTTCGATTTCAAATTATATTTTAACTATTCAAATAATAAAATGACGCCAAATGATGTACTAGTGGTGTATTAATGATGTCATTTAAGTCAATAACACCTCATTGACGTCATCATGTTCGCTGGATAAGACTGCGTATTAAATATGTTCGTTATTGTAAAAAATAGAAGTGCCATAACCACCACAGTAGTACTTTATTAGTTTATAACGACTCTTTATTGATTCTATTTATTACAGAAGTAGTAAGAAATTATATATAGTTTTAATGTAAAATTAGTGTATAAATTTAAATAGATTGAATGATTAAGTAGATTTATTTATTGTTGTAAAAAGTAGAAGAGAAACCAACAATACTCGCGTTATATTTTACTGATACTCTTCGCTGAACTTACTGCAAAACGATATGTTGTTTAATACATGTTATTTATTATGGATTTTCTGCAAGAAAAGAATATATAAACGTTTTTAGCACCTCATGACTATTGTTCTTTTTTAAATAATCATTTTTTAAATATTCATTACCTTTCATTAAAATTATCCAGTTATTAATATTTTCATTGTTGGGACAGTATATAAATTAATTGTTTATATTTTCACATATTTATTGTCCCATAATGAACATAATATTGAAAGTATAACGTTTATCTTTTGGGTCAATATTAATACATTTTCACAAGATATTATTTTCTACATAATATTCATATAACTCATTAAACGATTAATGCTAATGTGAAATTTATAATCTACTAGTCACTTATACACACAGAATTTGTTATTAATTGATGTTTAATAAATATCATCAAAATATTAAAATGATTTGTTCAAGACGCGAGTTGAACAAAAGTAGCCGACATAGGTTGATTAATATTTGTACAATGGATAGCAGAAATATATCGATTATTCCTGTGTTATATTAATGTTTTGTCGAGTCATTTCGTAGAGGACTGTTATCAGTTAATCTGTTTTAATGTAGGAGAAAGTTTTTGAGGGAAAATGGACGTCAACTCGTAACTTTGAGAAAACGATACCAAATAAATAACATAACGTAATTTTTTTATTTATTTAAAGCAAATCATTTAACCTATTTGACATTATTATTTATTACGAACTCATTATTTATGTTTGACTTATTTTATTTATATGATTAGTTTTCTGCAATAATTTATCGAAATTTGCTATAAATATTTTAATAATATCCATTAAACATATATTTTGCAGTTATGTACGTTCAAACAACTGTATTCAATATAAATCGCGTCAAAATTGCACGAATCAACCGTAAGAAATATAAATTTATTTCTAATTTCTTCTAGATTATATTTAGGATTATAATGAGAAACTATGATAATGATGATTCTGTGATATATTATGATATACTATACATTATGTTAGAAACTATATAATATATACAGACATTATATAAAAAATTGCAAAACTGCTGATTCTATTGTTTTGAAAATACAGGGATAGAAAGTTCATTTATAGTAATATCCGAGATACATAAACATAAATATATTTAAACATTTAATATATATAATAAATAATATACATAATAAATATAAACATAAAAAGTAATCAATATTTCTATATTTATATAATATTGCAGGTATATATTTGTCTCAGTTTTGTTTTAAAAATTAACATTTATTACATAAATAGTGAAATTAATTAAAAAAAAGTAATTTTACTCTTATAGAGGAATCTTGATGCCGTTACTAAAAATCCGATCATATAAAACCATTATTTTAAATGACAGATATGAAATCAAACGTGTCTTAATGTTTAAATCTTTACAATATCATTTTACGTAATCTGAATTTACCGATTGACGAATCGACGAACGTTTCTACTGTGGCACAGTAAAGAATTAATTTCACGGCTTGGCGAGTCCGAGATTCGATCTCGCAAGTGAAAGAGCCACGTATTAGTCAGACTACTATCGCCTGTGATTGAGTCTGTTCACTCTTACTCGATGAATAACGACAATGTTTTAGCGCGTCCAAGTACTCCGACACTTTGCACACAGCAATGGGCCTTCTATAATAAACCATTAGTCATAAGCCGCAAGCAAATTGACCAGTCATAATCGACTATTTTGAAACATAATTGATAGTGGTTGGTCAACCTGCCTATGAGTTATGACTAATAGCTTATTGTAGAAGGCCCATTAAGCTTAATCTAATGTGCTTTTTACTTCCTGTTACTTGTTCTCTTTTTCTGACTTAAGGTTTGAATCGGAAAAAAATAAAGAGAAAGAAATAAAGAACACAATCTTTGTTTCTTTGGAAATTATAGATCAAGCTTAAGGGCTACGTGTACACCACGCCACCCCCGACACTCGAGTTACCAATGTACAGTATTCTATCGACCCGTACATCGGTACTGCAGTTTCGTCTATGGATTATTTTTCTGGCTATGTATCCCGTTATCCTGGTCCGGAAAGTCGGTTTGACGTTGGCATATTAACAGCAGTGTTATTAGATGATTAAAATTAGCTATTAGATATTAGTTAGTTATTAATTAGTTATTAGTTACATATTAGTTAGCTATTAATTAGTTATTAGATGATTAGATAATTAGATTAGTTAGTGTAGTTAGATGATTAAAAATTGTAATACTTTTATTTTGATGAGTTTCAAGAAGTATTCCGCATCTCCAATAACAAGATATATTTTTTGAGAATTACTAAAAACTAATTTTTTTATTGAATAGGAGATGCGTTGCAAAATTCACCGGTAAAATGTAATATAATTTTTAATTATTTAATTGTGCTATCAATGATAAAAGAGCAAAAAAAAGGAGAAGGAAGGGGAAGAGAGAGCACAAGCGTATTTATAACGGTCAAAGGCCAAAGGCATGTTAATAGATTTTTCTCTGTTAGAATATAAACGATGAGGTTGTCCCTTGAGGGAACAACATGATGGAACAAGGTGACGTCATTATTCAAAAGATTTTTTTTGTTATTGACATTCATGTGTGCATATAATATGTGCATTCAATAGGTAACTTAATACCACAAGAGTTTACTACAATTCCACTTAACGCTTGCGTCGATCGCTACGTCATTCTATTCTTGTTTCCGACAGGAATGTTACACAAAAATGGAATGATGCCGCGGTCGACATGAGCATCAAATACAAGAACGCACCTTAAACACTCGGTAAGTTTTAGATAGAATCTAATACAAACCAATCAGATCCAAATGTTCACTCAGCAAGCAGTTGCAGTGTTGGATGCAACCAATGGCTGCATTCAGCAGAGAAAGCTGCTTTGCAACTATTGTAAAATTCGTGAATCTGATTGGTACATGCTTTTGGATTCAACCAAAATTAAGAACACACTCCAATCAGATTCACGAATTTTACAACAGTTGCAAAGCAGCTTTCTCTGCTGAACACAGCCAATGTCACAGGCAGCGGCACTCGATGACGCGCGGGTGGTCGATGACGTCAGAGGGAAACACCCTTGCAACCGGAGGGCCAGTGAACTCATTGCACTAGGGAGAGCGAGGTCACAGAAAGTGGTGGTGGAGAGGCGAGGTGCGAAACCAGGGCAAAAGGGGCAGAAGACAGCGTAAGAATAACCGGCTAAGGAGCGTACCGTCGAGTAATGTACGTAAATACGCTGTCTTGCATAGTTAAGAAGTCGAGTTTTAACGATCGACGTGGACTCTCAACGTTTAAACGTTCTCCTCGATGGACAGCTTACGTACTCGACGAGCGCACGTTGAAGCTCGACAAGAAAGCGTCCTTGAAAAAATTATAGCGTGGCATTGTGGCACCAATGATGTGTCTCTTTGGAATAGAGAATATACATTTATCATCGGGTACTTTCTCGACGCCATTGGAGATATCCAATTATCGGATTTTACGTATAAATAGAACACATCTGTAAATATCCAAAAGTTCAATGTTGACCGCGTTCTTGATTGTCAAGTGAAAACTCCAGTGCCTATCGCAAAAGATACACGGAGAATTATTTGACATCGGAAAAAATCTGACAACAACCATACTTGTGATTTTGCTGCTTTGAAGTGACTCTAGGATTAGTATCCATAGCCGTATCTTATATTTAAGACGTTTTAATTTTATCTTCAGCCTTATTCCGTAGTCAATAAAATGCTCCGTACATCATTTGAAAATGAACTTAAAACGATCGTGAATCAAAGATGATCCGACCATGAATATCAGATTATCAGTTGCACAAATGTGAATTTTGAACTACATATGTAGTCAATTTTCTCGGTGGAAAATGTCGAAATATCCATGAGTTTATTCTATACTGTAGCACAATGAATATTAGATAAAAACGGAGAGTTATGAATAATAATTTTGCGCGTGTACAACCGTGTAATACTGCACAGCGATAAAATAACGATAATGTTAAAAATGAACAAGCTGTCGCAATGATATAACACTGCTACGCCACTAAGGCCGCATGCATCAGTTTCAAGTGTGTAATAATATGAACAATTTCTACGTTTACTCAAAAGTACTAATTATCTTAATAGTAATTAGTTAGATTTTGTTTAATAATAATTATTTTATTAAGCTACGTGGAAAAGAAAATAATTGTCTAATAAACCTTTTTTAGAAGAGGAATTTTTAAAAGCGCTATCATTTTGGATGAATGTAGAAATTGATCATATTAGGTCTGTTCTTTTTAGGATAGTTGCACTGTCTTTATTTTAAATGAAATATATATATATATATGTTTGATTTTTAGTAGAGGGAAGAGAGAGAAAAGAAAGGGGGAAAGAATAGAAAAATTATAAGATACTTCGTAAAGTGCAGCTGTAAACTTATTACACGCTCAAAACTTGAAGCCCGTATCAGATATGGATTAGGGATTGGATTGAATAAAAATTTAACCAATCAGAATAAAGAAAATCAACCTCAAGTTTAGTAAACTTTGTTCTGATTGGCCAAATTTCAATTCAATCCAATCCCTAATTCATAGTCTGGGTTCCAGACGCATTTTAAAACGTCCTTTTTAAGGAAATTTTACTCGATACTCTATAGTAACGTAAACTATAGATATTGAATACAATTTTTCTCAAAAAGGATATTTTGGAATGCAATCATGATACGGACTTTACACAGGTAGCCTTTAGTCCCAACTTACAATAGGTGTAGTAAGCTTTAAGCCTTAAGAAATTAACCAATCATAGTGGAATTATAGAGGAATAATCAATTGTGACTGGTTAATTTCTTACGGCTTAAAGCTTACTACACCTATTGTAGATCGGGACTTACTTTTGACAAGTCCAAGACTCCATCTCGCAAGTGGAAGAGTCATGCATTTGGTCGGACTACGGTCGCTATCACTCGGCAAGTAACTGCGACGTTTTACCTTCCGGTCGAGCTGGCCAACCCCCCGGCGCTTCGCACACGGTAAAGGGTATGTCGCGCGCGGCGCGCCACCCTCGAAAACTCGAATTACCAATGCACAGTACTCTATCGACTTACATATCGGTACTGCAGTTTCGAGCATTCTTTTCCGGCAACGTTATCCCTTTGTCCACGCGCAGAAAGTACGATCGATGTTAGAAATGTTATCTACCATCGACGATAAGAGAACGAGGCAGAAACAGCTCGACAGGAGGAAAGGAGGGAAAAAGCGCACATTCCGTATTTATAATGGCCGAAGATTCGTTAATAGATTTTTCTTCGAGTACGTCAACGGTGAGGTCGTTTCTTTGAAGTAACGCAACGGGGCGAGATATTTGACGTCATTATTTGAAAGATATTTTCTTTTATTATCGACGTTCGTGTGTATATATCGACAATGTCACAGGCAGCGGCGCTCGATGACGCGCGGGTGGTTGATGACGTCAGAGAGAAACACGCTTGCATCGGCGGGCCAGTGAACTCGTTGCGCCAGGGAGAGCGAGGTCACGGAAGGTGGTGGCGGAATGAGAGACGAGGTGCGAAATCAGGGCAGAAGGAGCAGAAGATAGTGTAAGAATAACCGACTAATGCGCGTGCCGTCGAACGTACATAGGTGAGTACGCTATGATAATATGATTAAGAAGTCAAGTTTTAACAGTCGACGTGGATTTTTAAGACTTAAACGGTCTCTTCGATTAGCAGAGTAACCGCGACGAGGCTGATGATATCCCTCGTCGCGAATCGGGAATATACATTCAACAGCGACTGCTTTTCCGACGGCGCTGGCGATATCAAATTATCGACCTTTACGTATAAATAGAGCGCACCCGTAAATATCCGAAAGGTCAATGTTGGTCGCGTTCTGAACCATCGAGCGAAAGTTCCGGCGCTTATTGCAAAAGATGCAATTGCAGGCAGTTAACAATCATGTAAATAAAGGCTATCGTGATGTCCAATCAAAATAGAAACAAATAACTCATAAAGACAAGGAAGAACGAAACGCTGATTTTGTGTACGGAAAATTAGTTGACGCACTGAAAAAAACGCGTCTACCTGTAATACAAACCAATAAGTCTCGATCGAGAGATAATCCGATATTATATGTTGTATATTAGGCGAAAGTGTCTCTCTGTAATTCGGAATCAATTTTACTCAATCGATTACTTAATTCTGTAATTTCTGGTGCCTTTGGTCCCTAATTAATTCGTAATAAATTTTTATCAATCGATTAATCAATTTTGTAATTTGTAATCAGTTTCATGATGTATCCCCTTTCAAAGAAGTTTTTTTCGTGATTGTCGTCAATTGTCGGATCGCTCACACGTGAATGGAATCGAAGAAATATGCCCGTTCGTCGCGTCTCCTTGCCCGCGTTTGATACAGACCTTCGTTACGTTGCGCTCGTTGGGGTCGTTCATCGGGGGTGGTTCTATAAATAGCGCGCCGTCCCGTATATAGGTATTCGGGTCAGCAAGAGAGACTACGAAGACGAGCCAAGGGCGAGCTCAAGATTTTCTATAAAGCGCGATATTTCTTCGAAATATAGTTTTCCTCATACCGATCCTATTCTTTGCTCGTTCTTGTATGACTATTAAGCGTAAAACGTGTCTCTCTCGTATTCTCTCCTCGCAAACAAACGTTGCATCGTGAAAGAAGAAAACAAAAGAGGAAACATTTCCGCGGATAGCTTTATCATTTAAGAAATTTTGCAAAAAGCAATAACAAGCGTCAAATCTTCGAAGTAACAAGAACTGCCCGTCTCCCGTCGTCTGAAAACACATCGTGTCGATTTATTTCACGTGGGAGAACGTCAGCCGATCGCGAGAAATCTCGTCGTGACACACCTCGTCGTTTCTCTCTTTGTTATCGTCCTAACAGATCATCGCGCGAATAAGACCGATCTCGAGCGGCAGATACTTTCTCCGGGTGAGTTTGCTTTACAGCCCCAGCGAGATCGAGCGCGAGAGCCTCGCGTAAATCCGACGTCGGACGTTTTTACAGCACTCTCGCGCTTCGCCGGAAATACACACATATGCATACATACATACATACATACGTTCATACGTCCCTCGCACGCATCTCTGCGCTGCAGGACGGCGGGAAGCTTCGAGGAGGCATCCGTCCTACCACTGAAGGTCCCGCATGTTGACCCAGATTCTCCCATGTACACGTATCCCATTGACCCCGGGGTAGTTGCTAGGCAGCAGCGGGCGTACCATGGCTCGTCACGGGTCCGTCTCGGCGCGCAGCCGAACTTTCTCCTCGCTCCAGGTTGCCATCCACTTACCTCGAGCTCACTGGCGACGATCAAGTCGCACGGTGGAAGGCCACTTTTCAAGGTTCGAAGTCCGCACGAGGCCCGCATCGTCATCCCGAGAGCACCTCAGTGCTCGCACCGTGACTCTGTTACGAAGCTTTCGAATGATCGCAAGGAGATTCTTGGACACTCGACACTCGGGTCCTGAGAGCACCGGACGACAGCGACGATCACCAGAGGAAGGCCCGATGCAGTCGAGCGAACCCAATACGCGAACGCGAACACTTCGTCGGAAGGAAATCGAGAGTCGTTGGCCACCGCATATCGAAGGAGACTACCTCCGTCGCCGAGGATGCGTTCGACTCGCGGTTGTCCTGCAGTCTGGCCTCGCGATCACCATCCGTTCACTCCCTCGCCGCTTTCCTTTGTATGCTCCACTATTTTATGCGTGTAGTTGCCGGGGCACACGGTGGGGAGAGATTGTGAATGACGCAAGTCATGGGAAATCTGGGTCAGCAGGTCATGCCACCCCATCCCCCGGTGAACTTCTCATCAATGGGGCTTTATTTATGAAACCCGATGTCGCCCGGCCAAGGATGTATCTACCGATGTGCGGATGGGATATCGCACCGCGATTAACGCGCCCATGAATGAGATTTCGACTCGGGATCTATGCGGTCGATAGACGATCGTCTTCCTCGCCGGAGTTTCGCCGGAGTCTCGCGAAGAGCGTTCGCTTTCGGATCTTTCTTGATGCGGCAGATACGCCGATGTATCGCCCGATGTGGAAATCTACCGTTCCCGGATCCCGCCAGTCGGAAATTTGGCCGATTGTACTTAAACCGATTGTGTTCGCGGGATCTCTCTGTGGGAAATTTTTATCTCTTTATTCGCGGAGATTTATTTTTATTTTCAGAAAGGAAGGGAGGTTCTCTGATCTCTCGGAAAAATAGCCGACGAGTGGAAGCGGTCCTCCGAAGAAGAGCCGATCAATTTTTCCGTGAGCGCTATAAAAGTTCTCGTCGGAGGACTATTAATACGCGGACTTGACGCCGTGGTCACTTTTAAACCGTGGATACGTGAATATTCGTTAATCAATAACGGTTCGCGCCGCTATATCGAGACATATAAAAAAATTACCGCATTTGACAATGTCAACGATTTATCGATCTGCCCGCCTCTACCCGAAGGTCACGGAAACTCGGTCAGGCTAAAGCAACCCCGCTGCCTACTCGGAGCCTACCCCATATCAACTCGAAACCTTTATAAGACCGAACTTCTCTATTATTCATTAATCATATTCGCAGACGTAAGTCACGTACGAGCGATTAAATCGGGCGGATAATAACACGACGTGATCGGATCAACAAATTGCCGGATCACGCTTAGAAATGCATGAATGGCGAGAGAAGCGACGAACTTGATTGAATTTTCGAAAGTTATAGATATCGGTTTTAATGCATAGAACATATGCGCGTCAATTTTTGCGTCCGGCCGAAATATGATATATATTCAGATATTTTTTTTATTTCAACACGATGAAAACCTCAGATGCTTTTATGTGTACGCGCGCCTGCGGATGTGTGTGTGTGTGTGTGTGTGTGTGTGTGTGTAAATTTTGTTTCCCAAGAGATATGGAAAGACAAACTATGCCACTTTGCTGCCTAACCGCGAACGTATCGATGCAAGTCTACATTACAAAGGATATGGAGCGAGATTTATCTCGAAAAGATATCAATCCAAGAAACAGAATCCTATGAAACGAGATAAAATGAAGGACAAGGAAGAAATGAAGAAAATGAAGGGTTAGCGAGTGTACGCGTGCGTGTATCTGTGGTATATGGATGATATTGGTGTATATGATGTATGTTGATGTATATATACTTGATGTATGTGTATATATGCGACGCGAGCAAAAAGAAGCTACGATGAATGGTCTTTATCGCGATAGGAGAGAGGAAGGGTTCTTTCGCTGAGGCCGTAGAATTGGAGAGACGACGAAGAAGGCGAAAGACGCACGACGACCTCTCGGATCGGACAGCCGTGGGAAACTGTGGCTTTGAACTGCCGTGCACCATTTCTCGATACCTATTGCGCCCCTCCGCGTGCAGTGCGCGGCCAGGGCGGAAGGGAGCGGGAGGGGGCTTCCGCGATAGAGGCAGCAAGGGGTCCAAGGGGGGTTGCATACGAGCGCATGTAGAGACTCACCCCCGTGACGTCAGCAAGCTTTCGGCCAATCGCACGTCCGCATTCCATCGACGTCACCACCTCCCCCGTTGTGACGTGCATTCCAAGGAGAAAGGGGGAGCGAAGGTTTGGTAACAGGGTTGTCGTGCTGAACGCGCGGGCGAGAGGGGTGAGGCTGACGGCGGCGGCGGAAGGTGCAGGATGACAAGGATGAGGGGTACGCCATATTTTGACCCAATTAACTGGACTAAACGACCGCCGTGAAAATTCGTCCGTTTCTTCGGACGCTTCGCGATAACGTGTCCCTGTTAACCACGTTGGTGAGTTCAGAGTAAGGGTCATCCGTTTTACGCGATTTAATGCATATAAAAAATTTTTCTGTCTAACGATCTCTTATCGGTAAATTTTGTATCAGATCAGCGTAGATCATCGCCACAGTTTCACAAAAATATCTCATATATTTAATTGCAAATCTATGTACATATCTATAAAACACATCGGAATGATTATAATATTAACTCTTCGTCAAGAGACAACATATTTTCGCTATCTTCAGAGTGATAACCAGAATCACTAGAGTTTTCTTCAATTCTTTTTCCTTAGGAAACTCGAAAAATTTTTAAAAATTATTGAAACTACTTTTACCCTTCTGGTTAAAGATTATATAGCTTTTTCGTGAAAAATTAATTTCTCTCTAAATATTTTATTTTAATAATTTTTAAACAAAAATGTTCCGAGCGCTTCTTAGAATGACCTGAACACATATGACCCCGGTTGCTACTCGGCGGGTTAATACTATATTATATACAGGATGACCCATTTTGAATGCCTCGTAAGAAATGCATTATACAGAAAAATTTTCCATACAAAAGCTATTAAATTTCGAGGGGCACATAAGATGACAATATTATTATGACATTGAAATGTGTGTTTTCTTCAAAGTTATTTAAAGATTTCAAATTTAACGTCGGTGGTCGCTTTCTTGGATCATATCTCTCATTATAGATCAACGGATATTGCACCATATAATCATTGCTTTGTTTCACTGCCAATATTTATTCATGTTCACGCGAAGAGAATTACGTTAATCTTGGAGAAAATCTTCCAGGTCGTGCGAGTAAATTCTCGTTACTGTTGCATTCACCGCAAGAACAGATATAAAATGCTAAGAGCCGGTTTTTCAGTGATAGTTTAAACTTAGATTTCAACTTAAATCCTGTTTAAACAAAACAAACGCATTGTTAGAATAGAGTTTAAACTTGAATCCAAGTTTAAACTGCTATTGAAAAATCGCCTCTAAATAACACGCGAAATACAATTATTATGTAATTAACGTTGGAGAAATTCGTGTGTAGCAAAATAGAAGTCTACGATACGTTTGATATTTCTCGTGAAGAGTGATTTCTCTCAAGTTTTCGCGAGTGCGGAAAAAAAGCGTTGAAAAATAATTTTAGCTCTCCAGTATGTTGCTAATTTTATAATTCTCGGCTTTCTTAAGTCGCGCGGAATTTACGTCGCGCGCGACGAAAACGTCCACACGTAACCCCGTTCGATCGAGTACATCGGCTGAAAAGTAGGACAATGATAGTGACGGTCGGAGATGACGCGTTATATCGCGGTGAATTTTTCGCGCGGACTGTCACCGAGGCTGCTGCAAAAATATGTTCGATCAATTGGGCAAAGAGATACAATTTTCGTTAGATAATCAATGCAATACGACAGACTCAATAATCCACCGCGCGAAATTAAATTTGACGTAAGATCGAAGACTATATCTCATCGTCGTGA